AGACCGCATGCTGTCCCTTTAAGAGAGCAGCTCTTAGCAGTCTCAAGGAAAGCTCCTTCAGACATAGCAGCAGCCGTCAGCAGCTCGCCCCACTCTCGGTGAACCCTGTCCCCCACCCCACCTGCTCTGCAGAGATGGGGTACGATTGGGAGGACAGGGGACAGCCTGACATCAGAGCCCTCCCCCCCTCGCTCCTTAAAGCAGACAGGAAACTCCCAGGAACAGCTGGCCAGGGGCAGCTCCAAGGCAGGGGCCAGGAGCCGCGGGGCTTCAGATGCCTGTGGGGGGGGGGGCACCCCTGCTCCAGAGGTGCCCCCGTGACGTTGTACTCCATCATGCTTTTTAAAAATATGTTTATAAATGTGAATATAGTGTAACTGGAATATGCTTTATGCAAAATGTCTCTTGTAAAGTATCATTACAAAGTTTATAATCTACATTATAAATTTATCATCACAAACCTTATAATCTGTCTTCCTCCAATTTGTATGAATGTATCATTCTTGTACCTGAAATTAGGAAGATGTAGCATAACTCTGAAGCCTGACTGTAATTATGCAAAGTGTGGGCCATTAATGGTGGTTTAGAAGCTTGATGGCTCCCATTGACTAGGACAATTGACTCTAGATGGCTCTGTTTTCCTGAAAGTCTCCATTGCATAGCTGTGGACCAGTCCTGGAGTAATGGAGGGGGGCTCACAGGACATGTGATCATGTCACCTGAACTGGAATCCATATTTAACCTGGTGCTTTTCCATTTAGAAGGAGGGGTGGAAACTCAGAGAGAGACAAAGGATTCCTGCCTTGTGCCAAAGATATAAAAGGGGGTGGAACAGAACAAAAGGGGCTGCCAGTCATGAAGAAATCCCCTAATTACCACCTGAGCTGGAACTAACAAGGATTTTACCAGGGGAAAGGATTGGGCCCAGAGTAGGAAGGAGTCTAGTTTGTGAAAGAAGCTTATTGGAACATATCTGCGGGTGAGATTTACCTGTATTCAGTTTCCTGATATATTAGGCTTAGACGTGCGTATTTTGTTTTATTTTGCTTGGTAACTTACTTTGCTCTGTCTGTTATTACTTGAAACAACTTAAATCCTACTTTTTATACTTAATGAAATCACTTTTGTTTATTAATTAACCCAGAGTAAGTGATTAATACCTTGGGGAGCAAACAGCTGTGAATAGCTCTCTATCAGTGTTATAGAGGGCGGACAATTTATGAGTTTACCCTGTATATGCTTTATACAGAGTAAAACAGATATATTTGGGGGTTGCATCCCACTGGGAGCTGGGTGTCTGCGTGCTGGAGACAGAAGTACTTGCTAAGCCGTTTTCAGTTAAGTCTGCAGCTTTGGGGATGTGATTCAGAGCCTGGGTCTGTGTTGCAGCAGGCTAATGTATCTTGCTCAACAAAGCAGGTTTCTGCAGTCCCAAGCTGGAAGGGAAAATGCACTCTGAGGTAGCCTCAGCACATCAGGTGACAGTCCCAAGGGGGTCTCTGTGACCGAACCCATCACCGCCCCGTTTGCCCGTGGCTAAGGCCGGCCCTGGATGACTTTGTTTGCTCTATGAGGACCGCAAGGTGTCCAGATACCCGATGACGAGCACTGTACGATGGCCTCTAGAGCAGTGGTTCTCCAACTGTGTATCAGGATTCCAAAGTAGATCACGACCCCATTTTAATGGGGTCACCAGGGCTGGCTTAGACTTGCTGGGGCCCGGTGCCAAAGCCCGAGAGCTTCAGCCCTGGGCTTCGGAGCTCAGGTTACAGGCACCCCACCTGGGGATGAAGCCCTTGGTCTTTGGCAGGGCAGCGGCTCTCGGGCGGGCTCAGACTTCGATCCCCTCTCCTGTGGTTGTGTAGCTATTTTTGTTGTCAGAGGGGGGTCGTGGTGGGATGAAGTTTGAGAACCACTGTGAGAACAGAGCAGACCAGCTGATGCTAGTTACTGATCCCTGAAAGACAAAGCCCAACCCAGCAGCTCTGACAGCCACTCCCAGCCAGCGCAGGGAGAAAGTTTAATGGACAAACTGGGTTTTTTTTTTTGGGGTGCAAAATGCAAATTTGGCAACAACAAAACTTTGGGTGAATCTGGTCAATTTTGCCAAATTGTTTGTTGCGGGGGGGATGACAGAACCTCCCAAAATTCCCCAGAATGGAAATATTTCATCTAGGTGTTTTCAAAAAGAAATATTTCACTTTCTTGATCCAAAATCACTGTATGGTTTCAAATTTCCTGTAATTTTACTTTGTAGTTAAAAAATGTCTAAAATGCTTGAAATCAAAACAAAACGTTTCATCCTCAAATCAAATCTATTTCTGACTTTCTGGTTCACTGAAAATGTTGACCACATTTGATTTTTGGTATAACGTGAAAAGATTCCCCCTCCCCGCCGTGACTTTTGGTTCCCTCAACATTTATCAAATTATGCTTTCAGATTTACCCCTAAATATTTTTTTCAAATGTTTGGTTCACCAAAAAATTTATTCTTTTTGTTTTGACCCAAACAGTTTTCAGTTTGCTAAAAAATCTGATAATTTTTTGTTTCAAGCCACTAGCCCCACAGGAAATGGGCCACGCGGCCTTTCCCCTCCTTTGGGCGATGGCTTGGATCCAGCCCCAGGGTGGTGGACTGGCTGGCTCGGGTGGCAGAGGTGGGATACTTGTGATGATGAGCAACGACCCACCTAGGCTTACACTGATTTTGGGACCCTCTGACCCAGGTCTGGGGTCTGTGGAAAGAATCCTTCATAGGAGAGATGGGATGGGAGGAACAGGCTGTTCTGGAGGGAGCCACCAGATGGCACATTTATACAAAGCCAGGCAAGATCATAGCATGAAAGCAAGTGTTCAGTCTTTGAGAAATGCTGAATCGATTGTGTTCAATGTTTTTATGTAGATAAATACATCTCTTTCTCTCTCTCTCTCTCTCTCTCTCGGATCGCCCTTTTTACACAGCTCCGTGATGGGAGCTGCTAGGGAGCTAAAGTGGGACACAATCCTCCGGCAGTGCCCTGATATCCCCATAATGGCTTGGGCCTGTGTCTCGGTTTGAGGAATGGGCCAATTTCTGATCACCTCCACCGTGGATGGCTCAGGTTTTAGGCAGCCACTTCCCACCTTTTGGCCCAGGTACAACACCTCTGCCATCCCCACCTTACTCTTTCCAGCTTTGATAGTCAGTCCTGCCTCCCAGAGACATCCCAGCCCCCTCTTCACCTGGGACACAGGTTCCTCCTGTCCCAGGACTAGCTAACAACACAGATACCATCAATGCACACCAGGGCAAAGTCGTCCACCCCCTACAGTAACTGACCCGGCGCTGGGATGTGGCCGATGCCCCCTTGAGGCTGAAAAGCAGGAC